CGCCTCAAAGAGCCATCAGACCACCACAGATGGGGCCCAATAGGGCCGATGCCGATTCGGAGTCGCGGAGAACCTAACGGGTAACCGGGGCTCCGGCTCGACGTGCAGGAGAAGGAACGGGGTGGTTTTTAGTCAGTAAGAGTCTGAAACCCCCTTCTGCCTCACCCAGGCGGGAGCAGTCATTCGATGATTTTCCCCCCGTAAAAAAAAGCCTATACATATAAGTTACCATTTTTCTCCATATTGATAAGCTATTGGTAAATGTTTGAGATAATTTGCTGTAGAAAGACTGGTTTTTTTTTATAAAAGAACTGTTGGAACTATATTAGAAAGATTTTCTAATGATAAATGTATATGAACACTTACTGTGATATGATATAGGTACCTACTTAATTCTTCATCACCCGTATGTCAAAGATACCCAACTATGTAGCTATTGTTCTCATTTGGTACGTTTTATTATGTGCTGTTTTTTTTTTTCAATGAATTTATTTATATAATTATAATTGGTTGTTTTTATTTTGCCTAGTTTTAAACCCGGGTAAAGTCTCCCTTCTTGGGGGATCAAGTCTCCCACCCAGGCGGGATATATTAGCCAAATCTGACTTGCGTAAAAATCGTTAATTACTCATTAAGTATTAATGACTAGCTTCTGTTTATTTATTTTGTACTTGTTGACGTTTCAAAAGTACCAAATTATAGTCAAATTGCTGCTTAGGTACTGCCCGCAACTTCGTACGCGCAATCCCGTTTCCTCCCGTTCCCGTAGGATTTTTAGGATTTCTTTCCGTCATAAGAACCTTTTCCTGACAATAACAAACATAACAAAAAAAATCAGACAAATCAGTCTAGCCGTTCTCAAGTTATGGCGTGACAACGGGAAACGGGTTTCATTTTTATATAATAATGTATAGATTTATAAAACTTTCTTCATAAAAAGGAATAATAAAATTGATTTTCAATTTCAAATTAAAATTATGTTCAATATGGATATTGGATTTTATTACAACTAGATAGTAGATGCTTTAATTAAGTACCTACGGTACGTGAAACGAAACGCATACAGTCATTCGCGATTTTTTACCTATCATCATTAAGACTGCATGCTGACATGGTCACGGTACATACAGTATTCCAACTTCATACAAACGGACGAAACGCGAGCTATACCTACGCGGAAACAATTTAAAACTGGCAAATTTTTATAACCATTTTAACCAGTAACCTATTTATTTCTAAATAAAATTACTATTTTCTTTTTGGCAACACAGTTTAACAAAATTGGCAACTTTATTCGGCCGGCCAAAATGTAAAATGTCCTTGAACTTACGAAGTAAACATTACAAAAATAGAACTGCAATATTTTGATAAATTATTACAAGTGCTGCCTCTGATGTATCACTGTTCTAAAGAACTTCGGTTATTTCAATGAATTTAATATTATTCTGTGAAAAATGAGTGCGGTGAGTTACAAGTTTATCAATTTAACCCGTAAATAGTGTTGTTTATCATTACTAAAATAATAAACGTTATTTATTCTCCAATGTTCCAGTGAAATAGTTGAATGTTAGGTACTTTCAGTTCACACAAATCTTGTAGGTACTGACAATACCGGACTCGAAAACAGAATTTTGTACAATTTGGTACAGCCGTGAAGATGATAATAATATAGGCGTAGGTACATCCATGTAATGTAGATTCAGTGACTCATAAATATACAGTTTGGCAAAAAAGAGTTTGAAACAAATGAGGTCGCTAGTATCGTCCCTGTGGTGGCAACCCAGTACACTACGACTCAACCGGTTTTGATATTTGTTATTTTTATCGAGTTTGAAAAGAGAAGGTACTATGTTCGAATGACTGTTTATCGATAGGTCCGAACTCCGAAGTGAGTGATTCAGTCCAAGTCAGATCTTTGAAATACTTTCTTGCTAAAGCCGTTAATCTTTTGTTGTTTTTTTAGAATAGTATTATAAATTAATTGTTAGCTTACATTTGTGGTAAATTATGGTTTTGAAAGCGTGTCTCGTTCGAAAGACGCGTTCTTGTTAATTTATATTGTAAAGAAAAAATCATAACAAAACATCCGCCTTTTATCCCCGATGAGGTAGGCAGAGAGGTGTACATTATGCCACTGTACAATGTAACACCCACTTTTCACTATTTATGTTATGAGTGTAATAGGGGGTGAGCCTATTGCCATATACCGGGCACAATTCCAGACTCCGTGCTACTACTGAGAATTTTTAAAAAACCCAGTTATTCTTTGCTCGACCCGTAATCGAACCCGAGACCCCTTGCCCGGCAGTCGCACTTGCGACCACTCGGCCAACGAGGCAGTCAGTAAAGAAAAAAATGAGTGTTATCAATTTATAATTTCTAATTGTGGGAGAGCCATGCTTCGGCACGAATGGGTCGGCTCGACCGAAGTGATATCACGGCCGAGCAGAAAACCGACGTGAAGCAACGTTTGCGTTGTGTTTTGTCGTGTGAGTGAGGTTACCGGAGGCCCAATTACCTTCCCCTTCCCCAATCCCTGAATCCCCAACGATCCTCAAACTGCTAATCCCCAAAAAGCCGGTAAAGCACTTGTAACGCCTCTGGTGTTCCAGGTGTCTATGGGCAACGCCGATTGCTTACCATCAGGTGATCCGTATG